TCATTAATCATGGAGTATTTATTAATTAAAAATACTATTAAGTTTTAGATTCGAATATTTGTAAGTAGAGACCACGCGTACACTTGAAACACTTCGTAAATACCCCGTTAAATTTAAAAGAGTATTACATAGACATGAAACCTTGATTCAAGCCATTTTGTCAACTGATGCAATATATATATATATATATATATATATATATATATATATATACCTACATGTACAAATCTATGTAAACTGAAATACAAAATCGTTTAACGAGTTAGCATAAAGCCTATTTATTTCACTTACAGTTTGTCAGTTCATATGGAATATAACCTTCCTAATACATTCCATATTTGACTTTTAAATACGACAGTTATATAAATGAGGTTCATCAAAATATAACTTACAAAATTAATATGATCAATATTTCATTTATAGCCGTGTTCGTTATCAACAATGAAGTCAGAATATTGGCAATATATATCTATATACGAAATAATTTAATTTACCTGTGAATTAATTCTGATTTTTAAGAGTTAGATTAGTTACTAGATTATAGTGAAAACCTTTTATTAGTATATAACGTCTGTTTTTACTTTTTATCATAAATGGCTTAATATATATTGAAAAACATTCAACACATGGAATTATCAATAGTCTTGGGAATTAGCGACATTGAAGTTGCTCTGTAACACATTAATTTACATAACAGAAACTAAATTAATCATCAGAAGCGGTTTTGTGGAGATTTAGTATTTTCATAGTTGAAAGCATGAGTCAACTCAAGCTAGACCGCCATGGAAAACCTGGAAGCACTGGGCGGTCGTACCGTCCTATTGTGGGACTCCTCATCAGTGCGTATCCACGATCCCGCCTAGCGAGATTTGAAGTTAGACATTAACATCATCGGATACCGGCCCAGTTGCCTACCGGTTAAGTGCTCTGGAGCGAAACTGGTAGGTCCTGGGTTTCGAATCTCACGAGGCGAGATCGTGGATGCGAACTGCTGAGGAATACTACAATAGGACGAAACGGCCATCCAGTTCTTCCAGGTTTTCCATAGTGGTCTAGCTTCAATTAACTCATGCTTTCAACTATAAATCAATCATGTTAAAATATCATAAAATTTACCCAAATATTTATGCTATCTAATATTTAATTTTCAGTATATATTGGTATTATAGTTTAATCTAGATATTTCTATCGACCCGAAAATAAAAACTGAATGGAGCTGGGCTGTTGGATAATTAATGCAACTTTTAAATAAATATTGAATGTTTACTTTTTCTCAAATTATTTTGTTCACACACTGCTTCCATCATAAATGTCCAATATTTTGTGAATCATCAGCAAGCAATACATATCTTCAAATTTTGCGGGTGATATTTAGAAGCTATAATTTAGTACAGAGTAAATTATATAACGATATTTAACAGACAGACATTTAAGTAATTAGTATTAATCAGGAAAATCTAAATTTTGTGTTCCTATACAGTGTCTTGATTTACTAAGCATCAGGGTTACTAAATGTTTCAGAAATGAAGAAATCAACACCCTAAATAATTGAGAGATGATAGAGACCAGTCATTAAGAAACAAGTTACATTTAGAGTAAGAGAAACGGACCTTATACACTTCTTACTTTATCAGTTAATGTAGAGTTTTTGCATTCTATCAATATCATGATTGATAATTTATAGATGGATTGAAACAGAAATCACATTACTAGTCAAATCTCTTATTCACTTGTTGAATAATAACTCTTAATTGTTATGAAAATGGTATGTTTATATTATGTGTAGGAAAAATGATTAACTAGAACCTTGCTAACTTTAATTAAAAATATTTTAGACTTAGTTATATACTACTTTTAAAGATATAATTACATGTTTCACTCATTTCGTTTTTTTAAAAAAAATAGTACATTTCCCCTTTAATTTCTCTCTTCATTTATTTTCTGCTACTATGTTTATATTCCATTTATCTTACACGTTTTATTGTTAGTGTGCAAGTATTCATTAACACTTTCTTATGATGAACTGATTACCTTTTGTTCATATAACTATTACTCTAACTATTGTTGTGATTGTGATATTAACTGGTTTCTTCTATGCTCTACTACAATGAAATAATAATTATAATAATAACAATAATAGTAATAATACAATGCCAAGTGTTACACCTTAGTTATGTTCACTTATTTGTTTGTTTTTACATTCAATAAAGAAATAATTTTTGAGGAAGATAGAAAAATGATGTGATAATACAAACTAAACAACATGGAGATAGAAGAAAACGGAAGAGATTAAATATTCGTTATGTAGTTTTAATCTTTTTCGTCAACAGTGAGAACATTATTATCATTATTGTTATTATTACTAGTGGTAGTAGTAGTAGTGATGCTGATAGTGGTAGGAGCACGAAAAAAGACAAACGAAAAGGTGAAGCTTCGTTTTTATTTTCTCAGCAAAGTGATAATTTCATTGTTTGTCGTTTTTTCTTTTCACTAGCTTCTCCTAAATAATTTTTCATAATTTTGTTTACTCTAGCTCTTCTCACTTATCTAATCTATAAAATAAAATCTTGGGAAGAAAAATGGGAACAATTGAGAAAAAAAATCATAAACTTTCAAGAAAATTCACACAATAAATACAAATTTTTCATGTACTAAAAAAATGAAATTTAATGGGGTGGGGGGAAAGGGTGACTGAAGGTGAAGGATAAAGGGTGTTGAAAAAAAGAGGTTAACTGATGAAGAAATTAAATGTAGCAGAATATTTAAGCAAAATGAATTGTTCAGTATATACATTCACTGTTTATGGGTATGTATATATATATACTACTTAATAAAAAATAAACTTTCTCACTTGATTATGAATAGTATATATCTAGAAAATGAAAGAATTTCTTTAGATAAATAAATTTTTCTACATTCCAAACTTATTTTTCCCTTAATTTCTTTTAAGTGATAATGATAATAGTAATTAATATTATTATTATTATTATTATTATCTATTCAATATGATTTATTTATTTATCATTCCGTATTATTCTTGTTTTATGTTGATGATTCTATTCTATTTCTGTTATTTTCTCAATTCATTCTATAGGGTCATTTAATGTTTAGAAGAAAGTGGACTCGTTAAATTTTTTCTTATTTACAGGTTTGAGAATGTGTAAAAAGTAAAATTGAAAGAATTTGGTTTTTCTATGGAAATCTGAGCTCATGTATCCTCCTGGACGTACGTGTACTTGTATTCACTGAATATAGATGTAGTATATACTATAAATTGGAGAAGTAGAATATCCATGAAATAAGTCGAAAATTATTATTATCGGGTAAATAACAGAGAGTTTATTGTATCCTGAAAATCATCTCATTCTGCCTTAAAACTTTCCAGGAAAATGTACATATGCTTATTAGTCACTTCGAGAATCGCTGTGTAACTCTCGAACTCTTTAAAAAAAACATTAAAGGTGGTTTACATGATGAACTGTTAACAGCTGATGATCTATATAAGACATAGTATCTTTGGACATCTTTCTAGAAGTCTAAACTTATAAGTTTATATATAAGTCAAATCATTACATTCATATTCTTAAGACGAAAGTAAACTTCTAGAGATAATAAGTCAGAATACAATAGTATGTATTTAAAACTTAAGTTATTCTTCAGTCACTTTCAAATAGTACAAAATCTCTATAAATCCTACTCAATTTCTGTTAAAAATTGTTCTCACTGACTATAGTTAAGATTCGTAAAATAATTCATCATATGCATCAAACTGTTTTACGGTTATAATCAATTTTATCAACAGTACAGAATACTTAACTAACATTAGAATTAGCAATTATTTATTAAAATTCTGTATAATACTTTCTTTTATGTACTCTATGATAATTATTATATTCTTATGACATACAAATACTTAGATACTTTTGTTGAAAGAAAAAAACAGCTTTTAAACATTTAGGCAAATGGTGAGGAGTCTGCCGAGGTGTTCCATACTAGGAAAAAACGGACAAACAGTTCTTCCACCTTTTCAATCGTCGTCTAGCTTAGATTGACTCGTCAATTCAACCATTAGAATCACCACAATCTCCACAAGTCCCCACACTGATCATAACCATATGCCCACTAGTGACTAGATTCAAGATGTATTTCGTGGAGTTCTAGTAAGAAATCATGAGTAGTGAAGTGCAATCCGTGTTGGGTTTGAGAGTTATCCGGCTTAGAAAATGGGTGAATGGTTGTGTAAGATCATGGATTGGTTGAAGTTGAATAGTAACACCTTTGGATTTTGGCTCTATGGTCTAGTGATTAAGCATTCGCGTGTGAAACTGAAGATCCTAGGTTTGAGTCCCGCGCGCGGAATCTTGGGTACGCACTGTTGTAGTGTCTTGATATTTTATTTTTCGAATCAAAGCAATTCATGAATTTAACCAAATATTTATTGTAATTGCCAGACAAAAGTAAAACTATAAGTAGTAAAGTAAGTATCATTACCAAGTTTAGAGTTGATAATTTTGAATAAATTGAGCATTGGGTAGATTGTTATAAATAAATAATGTATTTATGTTGTTCCGTTGTACTATTTAAACTTGGATTAATTTTAATTTGGTTATTTATTTCCTGAAGAAGTGGTTTAAACTGAGTCACGAAACGTCAGAAAATTTAATTTTTCTACTTATCTACGTAGTTGTAATATTTCGTTTTTCTTTGTAAGCAAAATTCTTGGTTCAACAGTTCAGGTATCCTTACATTTAATTACAATTTTATACGGATGATATATTGAAACATTAATTTTATACTCTACTACATTTCATATTTAGTTTCCCGTTACTACCCTAAAGATTAATAACCACATATTTCGATTACTTAGCAACCAGTAATATCTTTCAGTTTTGCTAAACAAATGAATTCTTTTAATCGCGTTTAAACAAAAAAAGAGAAAATAGTTTCTTTTATAGGTAAATATAGTTACTTTGATAAATATATTCTATTAATTTACTTACCTGTACACGTGATTCAGTAAGACCAATTCGTAAAGCTAATTCTTCTCTCATAAAAATGTCAGGATAATGTGTTTTGGAGAAGGCTCTTTCTAATTCATTTAACTGATTCGGTGTAAATCGTGTACGATGACGCTTTTGTTTTACACATGTATTACTTGATGGTAATTTCATATCAGATATACTACAAATCCCAGTGTTATTATTACAATTATTATTATGACTACTAATTACATTATAATTATTGATAGTATTAGTTAGATTAGTGTTAGAAGTAACGTTACCGCTCTTATTGCAAATATCATTGCATTTTTCATAATTTAAACATTCAGAACTTGTTTCATTTGATGATAAATTTGAAGATGGTCCAGTACTATCGTATGTTAAATTCAAATCTTCTAACTGTGAATATGTACTACTGTCAGTTGTATGAGTAGTACCAATATAAGTTGATTGAATACAAGCTTGTAATTTATCCATTGAATTAATATTATTTTCATAATCAGTGTAATTTTCTTGTTGTGTATGATAAATAGGTGTAGAATGTGAAATTTGTTGCTGCGTTTGTTGTGACTGAAATAAATGTGGTTGTGTGGAACAAATATTTTGACATTTAATTTCAAATGGTGAACTGTTGTTTAACTTTGGCGGATTAAATAATCTCATTAACTGATCACTTTTATGATGACCATTTTCTGAGTTACCATCGTCTATGTTGTAATTCTCTAGTGAAGTTGAGTGAAATTGTTTTGTTTGTACAGGGGACTTACTATCGAGATAACCAAAAAACTTGTTTAAATTATTCAATGTTTGGTCTTGAGGAAATTTGGCAATATTCGCAATTGTACTAAGGTGTTGCTGGTGTTGTTGTGGATTTGACTGCTGTAAAAGAACACCATTAGTGTATGTTGATATTTGATTGTTATTCTTGTCTAAAGTCTGAAATATTTAAAATTATAGAGAAAAAAGTCAGTGAGTTTCAAGTTAGCAACCTAAATATTCTGAAAAAGAGAAAACATGATAAAAGATAGAGTATGAAGGGAATCTTATACATTCTCTCATTCTTCATGGTTAAAAGAGTCATGTAAAATTGTGAATGATAGTAGTAAGCTAGTTTTTTGAACATAGTCGACTGTTTCTGTTACAATTGACTGTGCCTACATTGAAATTTAATGCCCAAGTATTTTGATTAAACTGGAACTGAAGCTTGTCAAAAGAATTTGTGGCTAATTGATCAATCGGTAGTAACCAGTGTCATTCTAATCAGTGGTTACTTAGTTTCATTGAGCAAGTGGCAGTGTGGACACAAAGGTAAACAGTTGAACACCATGGTATGATTTATTTTATCGGAAGCAATTCACGGTTGAATCTTATTTCAGATACCTTTCTTTCGGTGCAAGTCTCTAGACCTTACATTCAATACTAAGGAAAATGATGCACCGTATAGTAAAAATATATCATAATATTGAGTCACAGTCCTAGTGACCTTATCACAATTAGTTTCATAAAATTTGATCAGTACTAAATACATATGTTTTAATGATTATTGTAGACATCACAGTGTACATACACCTTGTTGATGAATGACAAACAACACAGCCTTAATCCAAAGCGTTCTGAGATTTATCTTCAGCCACTCAACCATTTATTAATAAGCTGGAACGAAACAGCTTTTGAACAGTCTTTTTATAATTAATCAAAACCTGAACTTTTAATTTTCCAATCTGGAAAATGAACAGAAGAAAACAGATTCAGGTTATCATAACTGTAATCATTTAATTCTTTACTGCACTATATAATTTGCATCGACGAATTACTGATATATTTTTTAAGAAAAGTGATAGTTAGATTACGACTTTCGTTTGAATGCTTGGTGGAATCGATTATATTTGGTGGAACACTCATATTGATCTGTGTCATGAATATAATCAAAAGAAACTCATTTTAATTGAAGTATTGTATTTTTATCTTTTTAAAATATTCGCTCAACTAATTTTAGAAATTTGGGTATATTTCTAACGATGACATACATAATATGCATCTCACTTTATTTGATATTCTTCAGCTGGATGATCTGTATCTTAGTGTTGATGCTCACACTGATTTAAACTTACCGACTATTGATTTGCACACTGACAAGCCACCATTTGAGCTATCGAGTGCACGTAACCACTAAATTGTTTAATAGGTATGAAGATATTAGTAAGGAGTTGTATTGAGTGACTATTTGAATTTAATAGCTCAAAAGATTACGCATTGACGTCTGAAGAGTTAGTGAATGGGTTCAAGCCATATTATGAGCATCAACACAGGAATGTAAATGTATCTATCTGACAAATCTCAAATAAAAAGAGACATGCGCACTGGACTCCATTATCAGCTACATACGAAATTTAACAAAACTTGTGACTAATGGTCATATCAAGGCATTATACTCAGGATAAACATGTGATAACAAAGACTGATTATTTGCAGTCCTAGATATCAAAAACTGGAAATTACAAACTCTTACTAATATTTACTTCACTATTCATTCTTGATATGGTTGTGAGTTGATAATACTTGTTCATCAAATGTTAAGTAACTCAACACAGCAGTTTACTTATTATCATTTCTCAATCATGCGAAAATTCAAAATCACTAATAACCATCAGAGAAAGACCATTGTACAGTTAATATGCTTTTAAAACATTTATTCCATGCTTCCATTGAGTGATAAATTGTATCAGATAGTTTCAAAGTTCACTTCTTTATCTTACTCATATTGCATACCAGTATTATTATAATAGAAACAGAACTGCACCACAAACGATTGGAAAAAATATGAATGAGACGAAGTCATAATCTTTATGATATTGAAGCTTTGATTGTTATACATGACAAAATAATAAATGAATGCTTTAAGTGAATGTTTAAGATTTTGAATACGCATCATTTGATACGACAAATTAGCAAAAGTTAAAAATTACTAAAACAAGGCTCGAATACAGCGGCTCAGTGGTATCGTTGAAGATTTAAATTCAATCTAGTTGTTGTTGGACGTTACTTAAAATTCCAAGATTTGGACAAAATAGTTACCCAGTGGCCCTAGATTTTCGATAGATCGTTGGATTGTTTCAGTTCTTGATGGAAATAACACCACAAAATACTTTAAAATAATTATTTCACTAAACGGTACTGGGTTTGAGTCCCGAAGTGAACATAAACTCTAGAATACGAGTACATCCGGATGAAGGATTCTATGTAGGATAAAACATGCCCTGAATTCCAGTGCTAGCCATCATCACCTAAACTTATAAACATTAAAATGTGTAAAAAGGAATCTTTATCAGCGAAATTATATGATGTTAAATATAATACTCAATGGAAATTATCTGTCTGAAATTAAAATTATTAAAGACATAAAGTAAAAAATGACTTTTAAAAATCCATGAGAATGTTTAATCACGAAAGCATTTTACTGATAAACCGGAAGAACTAGTAACTAATCTAACCACAGAGACTGGATAGCAACTAACTCAGTAGCTAGCTGTATATGCGTGCTTAAAATAATTCCACCATAATGATTATAACTATATAAAAAAATTCGTTATACGACATTATTTCCTTTTGTTCCGCCAACTGTAATTCCTTAGGTTATCCATATATATATATATATATATATATATATATATATATATATATGCATTAATGCTCATTTGCTTTCAATACTCATAATAAATCTAAACAATGAGAAGGGGGAGACTATCAAATAAAACGGGAAGTAAAAAGAACGAGTTTTTAAAAAAAATATGATATACAAAACTCTATTCGAGTACAGATTTGAATAAATGTATATATTTTTGCCTACCTATACAAAATGACTATACTCTATAATATATACAGTTTCCTTCCTATTTATCATCTTAGCAACACACATATAAATATATATATAAAGGAGAATAAAATGAAAAACAATAAAGCATTAGTTAGTTGTTAGCATGATGTTTAATAGTTCCACTTATAATGTTACCCTCTTATCAAATCACCACGAAGATGATATTCTCCTCATTTACTCTGTAAATTTGAAGAAGTTTTTATAGAAAAATTATCAGAAGTGAATGTAAAAAACTTTACAAGGTTACTGATTATTTTGATTCTATTCTTTAATAAAAAGTTCCGCTAAAAATAAATGTTATGCATTATATGTATGTATGTTATTATTATATGGGATAAATGAAACAAAATACTTCTATGTAAAAGTTAGATTGTGACCATCACTGAATTGGAAGAAAAAAACACTTCTCTTTCTTATCAGAAGGGATTTTTATGGAGATTTTAGTAATTTTATAGTTGAAATCATGAGTCAATTGAAGTTAGAACACCATCGAAAACCTAGAAGCACTGTACGACCGTTTCGTCCTACTGTGGAACTCCTCAGGTTAAGCGCTCGCGTGCGAGATTGATAGGTCCCACGTTCGAATCTCGCGAGATGGGATTGTGAATGCGCACTTCTGAGGAGTCTCACAATAGGACAAAACGGCCGTCCAGTACTTCCAGGTTTTCCATGGTGGCATTTGCTATTCGAAACAAATTTCTTCAAGTAACATTAATATTTCATACTTTCAGTAAAAACTTATTGTTTTAATCACTATTAGGTTATTTTAAACTGAATAATGCACTCATAATCATGATTGCTAAGATGTCTTTGGTAGATCGGCTGTATAAAAATATGTTATTGTATAATTCCATCCAGTTTTTCGTGAGTTACTCGTGCTTCATTCCATCAGTTGGAACATAAAAAACACACTTCACTATAAATTGATCCTTCAATTTAAATTTATTCGACTAATGATCTAGATGGAACTGTTTTTTTATACAATAGATTCAAAGACTGATGAAAATCATCCGGTAGTCTCAGGGTTTCAGTGGTCAGTAACGTGGTATTATTATGCAATGTAAACTTGGTTTGGACGAGTAGTTAATAAAAAGCCTAACTTTATTCAGACTAGTCATCCTCAACGTACTAGTAAATTTTTGGTGTAGGATTTAGGTAAACAATTGAATTAGATTGAACTTTTTTAGCATTCATTACAGATTAATTAAATGTCGAAGTTCACAAACAAACAAAAAGTAGAATTAATCAGCATTTTTATATTTTTTATACAATAACACTTGTGATATACATACATTTACATATGAGATGAAGCAGCATTTTAACTCAAATAAAAAAATAACATTGATCTACTTGAATAACTGACCCGTAGTAAATAAAACAATATTTCATTTATTCGTTTTAACAGCATGGATAATTAGGTGTGGAAATGAAATTGTCTTTATAAATCTTATGTAATGCAACTTCCAGTATGGAATAATAAGGAATAGTGTAAAAATATAAATTGTAATCATTGTAAATATGACGTTCTAATAGTACTTCAACCAAGTATTAAAGAGCTAGACGTAAATGATAACCTAACTATGTAATGAAATGCATATTCAGTTTGTTTTGTTACCTTACCTCTTTATAACGGAAGTTAATCTCACTAAGAACAGTTTATTCAGAAATAAAAGTTATGTTGACTGTAACTAATCATGATCTGAAAGAAATATCTTACTATAAAAAATAATACATTGTATATTGTAATTTTAAATGGTACCATTGAAAATGAAATGTCTATAAATTCAAACAATTCCTTTAGATCATTCCTGCTAATGGGTTTTAATCAAAAAACAAGCATTATCGATTAAAAAAGTTCACTTGTAAAACTTTCCACATGGTCGGCATCGAAAATATCTCCTAGATATTCAGTTCGAGTCAATGTTGTTCGAAATTAAATAATTTCGCTTATTCAAATAAAATTCAATTGATCCATGATTTTGCACAACCATTCATCATCCATTGTCTAAGGTGGATAACTCTTTCATGTCCGACACGGATTGCACTCCATTGGTCATAGTTTCTCACTCGAACTGCAAGAAATACATCTTGAAGTTAGTCACTAGTGAGTACCTGATTATTAACACAAGTTCTGCGTGCGGGATCGCAAGTGTGCATTTCTGAGGATTCTCATAGTAGGAATAAACGGACACAGAGTTCTCCACCTTTTCAATCGTCGTCTAGCTTAGATCGACTAGTCAATTCAATCATGAAAATCACCACAATCTCCACAAATCATCACACTGATCACAACCATATGCTGACTAGTGACTAGATCTAAGATGTATTTCGTGGAGTTCTAGTGAGAGTCAGATGTGAGAGAGTTATCCAGTTTAGACAATGGATGAATGGTTGTGTAAGATCATGGATTGATTGAAGTTGAATATTAACACCTTTGGATGCCGGCTCAGTGGTCTAAAGGTTAATCGTCCGCAAGCGGAGTCATGGATGCGCACTGTTGAGGAGTCCCGTGCTAGGACAGAGCAGTCGTCTAGGTTCTCAATAATGGTCTAGCTTAGATTGACTAATGAATTCAACTATTAAAATTATTACAATCTACACAAATCCCCATTCAAATAAAATCGTTGATACTGGTCATTATTCAATTTTTTTTCTGGATACCTTTTGTTTAAATATTTATCAATATGTGATTATTAGTGTCGTTACCTTTCAATAGAATCAACTTGATACATTAATCTTCATGAAAACTATTATTTTCTAGTTTAAAAGCTGTTAAATAAAATATACAATAAAAAACTCCTTAAACGAAACAAATGAATATGTAACTCATGATTAATGTAGTCATGATTGTTTAAAATTCAGTTGTTGTTGTTGTTCGTTGTTGCTGCATCATCATTTTTTGTGGCAGAAAAAAATCGATGTTCACTGTTGAATGATATAAATAGTTTGAAATCAACCACAAAAAATAATTTTTTTTGTAACAATCAAAGCAACCTAACAGTTGTCTATTATCACGACTCATTTCAGCAAATTAAGTTTTTCCTGGAATTTGTAAATTTAATCACTTAATATAAGCTAACTGACAAAATGAGTAAATTGATTCTAAAAATAGCAAAATACCCTGAGATTATCTTTTAAATTGACTGGAAACGAAATTTCATTATACTACACATCAAAAGGATGAATAGCCACTGGAAACAACTGGAAACGATTGTCCAGGACATAGTTGGATGGAGAATGATGGTGGACAGCTTATGCTCCTCCACGAAGGGTAATAGGCGTAAGCAAGTAAGTAACATATGTTTTTTAACTATTTATGACTGGTAAAGAAGCTTGTGGAGATTGTAACATTTCATAGTTTGCATTAATAACTGATTTTCAGTAAAAAAAAACATTGGAAATCGAAAAGAACTAGAAAATTGTTTTTAGCTAGTATGGAGCTTCTTAGTAAAGCACATCCATATCCTACCGACGATCAAATCTAAGATCTACTGGTCTCTTGGCGAGAGCCTTATTTTTACATCATTAAACCAAAATTCAATGGTTTTCTTAGTTGACTCCAATCAATACGGGGTATTGCTCAACCATCCTCCAACATTAATATTAGTAAGAGGAAGGATTAGTTTATTGAAGGGAGTTTATAATGCTCCAAGTAAAAGTATTTATATGAGTAAATGAATACTGGTAAAATATTAGATCCATTACTTTGAAATATACTGAATAAAGTGATACAATAAAATGGAAAAAATTAAAAATGATCAGTTCGTCAAAGAGAGCGTAGCAGATTAAAATGTATAATTACTGAATGATATTAGAAATACTTCAAAATGGAGCATGACACACTTAATCAACACTTTTGATTTCAATTTTGTTACTTTAGAAAAATGTGAAGAGATATTTATGTCTGAGTATCAAATTAGAGACACTTTCATAAGGACGTATTATCGTTGGGATGGAAGATTAGTTTAATTTGAAAATAACTTATATCATAAAGTAACTTCAGCTAGTTGACCATTGGAAGCTCGAGAGTATAAAATAATTGTTTTGTTATTAATTGGAACTACTTAATAGTGTAATCCAGTGACTTCATCGCGATTTGAGGGAACACATTATTTTAAGAATAACTAGTCGGGATCTTATTGATACCTGTTTTCAGTTTGAGATAATCCACGAAATTACACGACCATCATCATTTGCTGTTGATAGTGTAATGGCTGGTACCATATCAAGCCCAATAATGTTATTCTAGCTTCTGGACAAACCTATTTATTTATTCTTCTCAAGCCACATTTTGACCTTGTTAACTATTCGCTTGTTAACCCTGACTGTTTTTATATGAGCGCATGCGTGTTGATTGCTTAACCCCTTTATTACGTGTTTGTAATTGATTTTTGTCTGAATATAAATATTGAATCATGTTTGATCAAAACAAGTTAGCTCACTCGCCTTCTCCATTGAGCGTAATTTTACTTCGTGTCGCTTTCTTTGCTTCATTTCCCTGATGTTCTGTTCAGATCAATGGGAGTACAAAATATATGTATTCAAACTTCATTCTCGTATTTGAATTATCTTTATTTCGCTATTCACTAACGTGACTTAAGACGACATTTATATTTGAGGATATGAAGAATGTTTTTTTCAATAACAATCATCGTCGTCCAGTCTGCTTGGAGTCAAATATCGGGCCATTAAAATAGTAACTGCTTCACTTCCAACATTCACTTCACTTACTTACGCCTATTACCACTCGTAGAAGCATAAACTACCGACCAGGATTCTCCAATGAACTTTGTCTTCGACAATCATTTCCAGTTCTTCCCAGTTGCTTTTCATTCTTTTGATGTCTACTTCCAATTACCGATACAATATGTTCCTTGATCTTCCTCTTTTCTGTTTCTCTTCAGAATTCCAAGTTAGGGCTTGATCACTGGTGCAGTTTGGTGGTTTCCTTAATGTATATCCTACGCAACTCCAGCATCTTTCCCTAATTTTCTCTTTAGCTGCAAGTTGGTTTGTTCTCTGACGTAGTAGGCTGTTGCTGATAGCATCCGGCCAACGGATCCGGGATATCTTGCATAGACGACCGTTCATAAATACACATATATTTTGATGATGGTTGTAGCAGCTCTCCAGGTTTCAGCTCAACACTTTTAATATAGTTGAATGCGAATAGGCACTGTCATCATCATGACTATGTAACTAAAGTTAATCTACAATGAAAACTAGTTTTAAAGTCAAGTAACTTTACAATATTTTTGTAACTAACTGTTTTTAGTATATAATGTATCTTTCTATTTTACCTACAATATTTTTGTAAAAAAAAGGTTTTTTAATGAACTTAGACGAGCGAAAATACTGTATACCTTGACATCAACTGGCAAAATAGTAGAAACTATGTAATACAGAATAACCGTTTTATCTGACTTTCGAACTTCTTATAAACGGACCCATATGTGATCAAACGCAAGATTATTGTTTTTCGTTTTAGCCAAGTTTCTTTTCTCTACGTACTCGTTGCTAATAATAGTTTTAAATATAATTATTCTCTGATAGATATGAACCTTTGTCAATAGAAACTCATTCACTAATTTAATCAAGCTTCATCTGAAAAGAAAGAAATGATAGTTTTTCATATTGTGAAGAGGATAATTGAACCAACTTTGAAAAAAGATTTATCTTGGAAGTGTGATAATTTAGACTTACCAAATTATTAGAATAATTTATATCATGAATTCGTGTTTGAATCGTTGAGTTCAACACGTTTGTTTCTTCACATAGATGTAAATTATTTATATTTGTGCTGTCATCAATACCGTTGTTAGATATTATGTTGATATTTTCATTGGCGCTATTGTTATTATCAATACTGTTTGATTTATGTATAATGATTGATGAAGATTGAGAATTTCTACTGACTGGAGCATGATAATTCAGGGCTTTGTGTTCGTATTTATTCGACCAATGAGATGATGCTGAGGATAATGGTGATGTAGAGGAATCTGGCTTAACTCTCCCAACAGTCTCATGATTTATTCTGTTAACAGTATTTAGTCTGATATTGATTTCTGAGCACATAGAATCTAAATAAAAATTAAGTAGAAAAAAATATTTGTCGTAGAATATTAAATGTGGCAAATTTGAATCATATTGACATTATTTTTCGTAATGATTAACTTTCTACTTAATTATCATTTCAAGCGTCGTACTCAACAGGAATGTGAGGAAATGAATTAGCCAAATTAGTCAGTTAAGTAATGAATGTTATTCACTTATGGTATATGATTCATATTCAAAATCAGTGAACTCAATTTCTTATCATGTTGCATTGAACAACTATCCAAAGTTTTATTATTGGCCTAAGACTATTCAAATCATAGGTTCTATGTTCTAAGCTTCAAGCATTTTGATACACTTCAGTAACTAACCAGTTTCGTGTATTTAACTTTAAAGTATATTTACTGTAAATGAGATGTAAATACTTTTTGGTTCCTGGAAATGATTGAATAAAACGGGAACAGAATATTCAACTCATAAGTTGAAATATTGACTGCTTATACTACTGAACCATAGTTATAATACACTTGTAAATATCTAAAGAAACTAATACACTTTATCAGAGAAGTGAATGAAATAGTTTTTTATTTAAAATATCATTTAAATAAATGATAAATAATTCAACGTATTTTTGCTGTATGAGAAGTTTAACTCTTGAATAAATTTATATAATTCTATATCATGTAAAAATGAAACTAGATTTACAGTAAAATATAGTCTAAATTAACATAAGTGGCAATAACTAGTTTGTTGAAAAGCCATAGTCTTCACTTACATATGGCTTAGTTCTTGTTGTATGAAAGTGTGCTTTTAGTGGATACTCTTGATGAACGATAATTGGAGCTATGACGAAAATCTTTTGTTCATTTACATTTGGACATTATTTAAGTTGTCTCTTAGTTGATACGGGTAGTACATATCCATCTGGAATAAACTGAATTCAAGCTTCTATCATACAGTTACATGTACTGACTAGTTTTATTCCCGTGTTGTTATGAAGATTAGTTATCTATACTCATGATATTTTGTAATTCGATCTTACTCGCACATGCTATCATCCAATATAATTTTAACTACTAGTTTAATTACAATAACGTGGCTCATGAAGGTCTCAAAAACCTGAAACTATACAAATCGACTTTGAAACCAAATAGGTACTTAGTTTTCATTTCTGTTTATGAAAATATATGTGAAAATTTACTGGATGTGTTTCAAAGACTCACTACACGAAAACGTGATTTGGAATTTTTAAAGTAAACATATTTTAGTCCAGAAACAAAAATTGGAGGTTTTTCTTTCAAACTCCCTTCAATTCGTTTAGATTAATTTTATCAAACAGTAAATCATTTGATTTTACAGTAAAAATGGCAAAAATAATGCGTATAGTTTCCCCTAGTTTTAAAAGTGTATACTACTATGAACAATTTTAAAAGACCTGATTATTAGTTAATTTGAAGAATTTTACCCAGTAATTAATATAATGCTACTCTAATTGGTAACTTAATTTTCTATGTCAATTAACTTGATTGTTAGTATATTCCTTATCAACAATTGCCCATATGATTAAAGGAAATATCTTTCCATCAGTTATTTAAGGAGTCTTTATTTAATAATACTGAAAAACTAATATAAACTACAAACTGGTTTACTGTTAATCTTTGTACAATTAAATTTTAACCGACATATAATTCCCATTTAAACATTGAAAAATTAAAAACACGAAGTTCAGCGAAAGGATCTCTTTTCAACGAATTTATTATCAAGCTGTACAATCGGATATATGAAAATGTTTTGTTAAAGTACTAATTCCGTGAGAAAATGTGAACACAAATAACCAAGATGACGTAATAGAAGGGTTATAATACTAGATTACGTAACACGAGTAATAACAATAAATTTTATCTTAATATTCATAAAATTCTAATTATAGTTTACTTCATTAGTTGTTTTTTTTAAATAATACCAAAATTTATAATAAAACTAATATTGTATTGAAATTCACTTGGTATTGTTTGTTTGAATCTTCCCATTGATGTTTAGGACTGCAATTGACCAGTCTCTTATTGACATATGTGTCCCAGAGTGAACATCGACTCTGAGATGCAGATATATCTAGCTGACGAGTCCCAAATGAGACGAAACGCGAGTCCTGGATTCCACTGCTAGCCACTATCCATCTTTGCTTATGATATTGTATTGGTTATTTAATTTATAATTTACAAAGATTTTAATGGAATATATGAATTAATCAGTGGGATATAATAATATATCTTTTTTCTAGTGAAATTTAGTAAATTTCATTTGAACATTTAATACAGATAATGATAGTGTATAACTGAATAAATACTTTTGGATTGTTGCAAAATAATGTATTTGAAGAGGTGGAAAATTTCATTTTTTAAAAATGAAACGGAAATAGTTATATTCACTGGGTGTTGTTTGCTTGTATCTTCTCATTAGTATGTAGGACTTCAATTGACCAATCTCTTATTGACGTATATGCATCCGGTGAGGATTGTCCCGATATTGCTTTAATTTACAAGATTTTAAAAAAAGATGGATAGTGGCTAGCAATGGGATCCAGAACGCGCGTTTCAGCCGATTTGGGACTTCCCAGCTGGATGTACCTGCATTTCACAGTTGATGTTCACTTCGGGACTCAAACCCAGTACTATTCGCTTCAAACGCCATCGCGTTATCCACTCAGCTACTGAGTCCTGATAGCCACTTGCTTGTGCAATGTGGTAAAGTTTAAATTCACTTAGTATTGTTTGTTTGAATCTTTGCATTGATGTTTAGGACTGCAATCGGTCAGTTTCTTATTGGCATATTTGCATACTGTGCAGATTGCCTCAATATTGCTGTAGTTGTAGTTAGTACTTATATTTAAAGGTAAAGAGTTTCAGATTATTTTTTTGCTTTTTACAGATAAATTTGTTGTACATTATTTGTCTTTCAAAAAATTATCGGGAGGTAATATCAACTGAAACACAGTCTATAAATAATTCTCTGCTTAGAATTTTATAGGAATAAACTTGAATTACATGAATAGGAGTATGATATTTTATTTTTACTTTCTGTATATCTGAACTGACAACAGTCATATTCTAATAGGATTAATATGTCAACTACAATATCGATATGGGAATAATACGAACCCCTGACTAATCAAAGATCATAACATCATAGACCTTTGGGAATTTGACCTGAGTAGCTGTGTGGATAAGGTATTGAGATTAAAAATGAAAGATACTAAGTTTAAGTCTCATTGTAAACATCAACACTGAGATCGGGGTACATCTAGCTGGCAAGTTTTAAATAAAAAACAAAAGATGCTTCCTAAATTCAATCATAACTACATTTGAAAATGATTGAGTCTGTACGTCAGTAAATTTACCAAAAAAATCAAAATAGTTGAAAATGATTTGAAATATTTATTCTATTGGCAACAATAAAGTTACTTTAACTTTCGAAATTTATGATTTAATTTCTATTTCAAAAAAAAAGATTTTCTTTTCGGTTGAGAAAAATTATTTATGAAATAGAAGTAATCTGATTTTCCTTAACTATTTTATTCATACTGTTTTAGTATTTCTGTACTCTGTCATGTTTACTTCATAGTTGTAAATTGAATTATTGATACAATTCATTGATGATATTTATTGAAAATTATTTCTAATCTTTTTCAATATCCAATTTTCTAGGTCTCGGATATGAATACTCTTTATAATAAAAAGAATCCTTGGTGATAAAGGAATTTTTACGTAGGTTTCATTCACTCAAGATCATTTCAGACATTGGGTTAGTAAAACGTAATGGTAAATTTATTCATCATTGAAAGCTAGATAATTTGGTATCAATTATTGCTCATTGATCAATTAATTTAAACATTTTTGGCCTAAAAAACATCAGTTACATTGCAAATACCTCAGTGCTAAGATAACTGGTCTCCCAACGAAATGATACAGATTCCAATCCTTCAGAGAAAATTAGTTCCTGCAACTCTAAGTAGCATAAAACTCATGCCCGAATTTTCATGAATATTTTGATAAGGTATGTGTGAAAGGGATGTAAAACTTTCTCCTGAGATGTTCTTGTACAACATAAACAGGTAATGGGAAGATAATTTTCGTTATTCACTAATGACATTTAATACAACACTCAGGAGTGTTGTAAGTTAGCTTAAGTATATAAAGTGGGTTACTGAATTTCATTCAATTAAAAGGTTGAGTATAAATGTGCTAATCAAGAGACTTGAAAGTTTTTAGTTGAATTTTATGTAGGACCTAGGGTTAGTATTAATGAAGAGTTCACCACAATACCCCATCAGAATTTTTGATTTCCAGAAACACCTAGAAAAGTAATTTAAGTACATCTCCTTAACGATAGTATATTGGTTACGGGGTTTTAAATGAATATTAGGTAATGTCAAAACGTACTGGTTCTTCGTACCATGAATCCTTTTGTATTAGGAATGTCAAGAAAAATACCATGGAACTTTCTGAACTAAAGTAGGTCGTATAAAAACCAAACATCCTTAAATTATTGATGTATAAATCAAATTGTAACAAATTACCAGGTATTTCATATTTTGGATATTTATCTAGATGATTCTGGATTTAATTTGAAGAAAAACATATTAATAAAAAGAACTAATTTTGATGGAATATACCTTTCTTTAATAAATACCTTTAAAGGTAGTTGGAGTGATGACGGTTCTATTAGACTATTATCATGAAACATACACAGATAAGCTAAATTGCAATTAAGTGAAGTGAATAGAAAAATCTTCTTTGTTCAAGTTATGAAAAGATAAATAAGGATTCAAAATTGTAAAAGTAATTTCCACATCAGTTAATAATCTAGAATTACTGGACAAATACCTCTTGTTATTCTATGGCCTATCAGATATAATTTAACACTAAGTATGCTGACTTTTACATCTGAATCCTGTATGTTGAACAATCATAGAAAAAAACAAGGAAGTTGTTTGTTTATTTATTTACCATTGACCATCTTTAAAATTCGTGTATGTTTCAAATCTTTCATTATCAAATTAATATGATTGTACTTAAAAATGTTTAAATTACACTTACTCTCACTATCGTTTGAATATTCAGATTCGTACGTTGAGTGTTGTTTATCTTCGTATGATAATGATTTATTGTTTTGCGCTCTACTTAAATTTGCAAGATCACTCTCTTCATCTATTTCACTCTCATCATAGATTTCTTCTTCATTGTCAACATCTTCATTATTATCTCTGTGTCTATGAACACCATCAACATGATTATGACCATTTTCAATGATTATATTCCCTCCATTATTTATTTGTCTCTTATGGACCATATTTCTTGGTTCATTTGATGTTAAACACCAATGATTGGATTGTAGACCAACTGTTCTTTCAGGTAAATAATCACTTATAGTTGTTTTAATTAGTTTTAAATCATTTAAATACGTTTCATTTAAGTTATTTGATGATAAATTATGTAAAGATAATTCAGGATAATTCATGTTTAATTTTTTTGTTTGAAATTGTGGTACTAATAAACTAGAATAAATATTATTTCCAGTAACTTGTGTTGTTGATATGGTTGTTGCTGTGCTTATTGTTGTTGTTGTTGTCGTTAATGTTGACACTGATGTTTTTCCAGTTGTTGTAGAATTAAATTTATTCAATGTAGTAATTATTTCATTTCGTGTTAAATAATCATTAGATGATTGTTGATTTGATGATTGAATATAAAAATGTTGATAAGGATGTGAATAATAATTTGGATAAGTATAAGAAATTGAAACATTGAAAGGATATGTTAAATTTGTTACACCTTCCTCATTCTTATTTATATTATCATCTTTTGAACAAATTACTGAATGTGTTAAATGTTCATTTAATTCAGATATTGAATATAATTCATGATAATTTCCAGAATTGGTTGATGAGTATATATTTACATTATCAGTAAAATTAACATCACCAATATTACTATTATTATTAGTAGTAATAATAGTAGTATTAGTATTACCTGTATTCATTATTGTAAACGGAGAAATATTATCAGTTTTTAAATTTAACATTTAACATTTTGTAGAAACATTTGGAAAAATAGGATTTTCCAAAAAAAAAACCAAATTAACTTTAAAAAAGACAATTCGGATTATTATTTTTCCCTTCAATTATTTTGTTACTGTTCACATTAAATGAACATTTTACACTATGTAGAGATTGAAATTAACACACAAAATAAAAATATAGTTGGATTAAAATTAAGAACAGGGGATGAGCAATATACAAATGTATATGTCTTCATTTACACAATATACAAGATACTTATAAATATATGTCTAGGCTTTATGTCATACTACTGAATACGGATAGACCCCTTTATTTAGATATAAATACACTAGTGTTTTGTATAACAAATAACAAAACATCTCTATACATTAACATAGGTAAACTCACACACATACATACACTGGGTTTTTTAAAGCTTATCTAAGGAATAGGTAGGATGAAACAAAATTCTGTTAGAAAATTTAATATGATTACTTTATTTTTTTGTGTGTTATAGGTAGAGATAAAAATTATTCATAAATTTCATTGGTCATGTTTACAGGTTTTCCGATAGGTTTAAATAATATACATTCTATGATAGAATTATCAACAATCCTTTTTCATTGAAAAGTTTATTTAGTCGATTTACGTACATGAAAATTTATTATATAAATATGTCATTATTATGAATATTGAGTGACTTCATCATTATAATTAACAATAATCTACTAATAAGTGGTGGGATTTGATATATATTTTTATATATAGTTGAAATCATGAATCGATTGAAGCTAGACCATAATGGAAAACCTGGAAGCAGTGGACGGCCGTTTTGTCCTATTGTGGGACTCCTCAGCAGTGCGCATCCACGATCCCGCTTCACGAGATTTGAACCCAGGACCTATCAGTCTCACGCGCGAGCACTTAATCGATAGACCACTGAGCCGGCATCCATACTTTTTATTAAATACTGCTTTAAATTATTATTTGTTAACGCGGTTATGTTTTTTTCTAGTAATTTGCATCATAAACTTATATCTACTGGGGAATTAACAAAAGTTAGAAACCGTTAATAAATTATTTTATGATAGATTTACATTAATCAGTACTGGAAACTTATGACCCTATGAGTATGGTATTATTTTGATAGGAATTGTGTTTTCTTCACATCGTTATTTAATTTCCGATCTTTTATTGTTGTTTTCGACAAATAGCACCTGCTCTATGTAGAACTAAGATTTCCAGTTACTCTACAAGTGTTCTTTCATTCCAATCTCCTAGCATTGTTTACTATTACTTGCACCCGTGTTATCTTCATTTGTCCTTGGGTTTATTTCGATTGTGGTTATCAGTTGACCTCTGGTCTTGTGACTGGTTAGCCTCTTTAGTATAGGCTGATAATTTATACATGTTCGTGTGTTTATTAACTGACAATTGATATTACTAAGATAATTAATACGAATTATATTGTCCATATGATTAACCTTAATCATTTTTTTGAAATCGTTCTATCCTCATCCAAAGAACTTGATGAGGAGCGATTCTAACCCATTACTAAAACAGTTAATTACATATGACACAAATCACTCTTCTAATAAACACTGAAATCTAATTCGAATGAAATCAGAGACTATGGAGATTAATATGACTAGCCAATAGAGATCTATCAATTAGACGGTAAAAAATAACTGAAAGACTACATTACTTAATGGTAACAGTCACTCCATTAGACAAAAACTTACTAAAATTTTGAATTATGCATGTGATATTTATCTACGAGTTTTACATTTTCAGCACAATATCACATAGTTTTTTTTAACAACTACCCTGTTTTTGAACACATGCGTACGGATCTTATTTAAACTTTACATGGGATTCGATTGCATTTTCAATTTATTACTAAAATTACAATGAATACAGCTCATAGACTGGTCACATTCTATTTGCTAATTAAATTTTATACTTTGGAAATAACTTTGCAATCTTACACCTTGTTTCTTTCTTCTCAAATCAATAATAAGGCAAAAATTGCACAAATAATTGAAATGTAATCTGTAAATTAGGTTATCTCCTTTGATTACAAGATGAAATCAAATGGAGGAAATCTCAAAGCAAATTTAACAACAACAGATATTAGCCAAGCACTAAAATAAAAAATATTAATTCACATTGCTTATCGACTATTCTGACCATTAGCCTTTCTAAAAAGAAATAACTACACTTTTCAAAACAGTACAATAGTTTTCAAAAGTACAGACTAACGTTCTCTAGAAGGAACCTGTTTTCTGTATCCGTAAACGATAAGCTTCCTCGTCTGGTCACCTCCATGTGCATCTATCAGTTCGCCTGCTATTATGAAGCAAGGCACATAGACCGTAGCCAGCTCTTACTTTCAACGCGAATACGAGAACATGTCCCAGTGTATTTCTACAATGGTGGGATGAAAGGAAATATAAGTTCCATGTTTAAGCATCTAATTGGCTTTCATAACTCCACTTAAACACAGGCTGATTTCAACGTTGTTCATGCAATTTGTCCAAACCTATCTAGGTTTCTTCGTACCCAACTTCCTAAAACAGTATAAGCTCTTTCCATCCAAGAGTTGAAGCCAGAACTGTGCGTATATAACAAGTACGTATTATCCTTGTTCCTATCGTAATTATTATTGTTATCATTATTACTATCATCATATTTTACATTTGTGGGAGAGAACAAACCAGATTCCAGCAGAGGAAGAAATCAGGAAGAAGCGCTGGTAGTGGATTGGGCACACCTTGAGGAAATCAGCTAATTGCGTCACCAGACAAGCCCTCACATGGAATCCTGAAGGTCAAAGGAGAAGAGGAAGACCAAAGAACACATTACGCCGAGAAATAGAGACAGACATGAGAAGAATGAACAAGAACTGGATAGAACTAGAAAAGGAAGCCCAGGACAGAGTGGGTTGGAGAAAGCTGATCGGCGGCCTATACTCCATTGGGAGTAACAGGCGTAAGTAAGTAAGTAAGTAAGTAATATTTTACATTTGAGAATATCCCCCTCACTCTTTAATTATGTCTCACATCCTCATGATTTTATTCATGATTGTTTATGATATCACTTCATTTGATTTTACCCCTCTATTAACTTTATTGTAACAAAATCATTGTAATCATATTTCACTTACATTATAATTCTTTTCTAACTTATTAATTCTACAAGGCTTTCTATTTGCACTTACAATCTCTTATTGTTATTGTTCACATTCAACAATCTAGTATTATAACCCTTCTGTTACATCATCATGTTTATTCCTTGTTCATATGACCTCAAAAAATTTTCATGTCTGTAAATACGATCGTACAAATTAATAATAAATTCGTCAAAAAAGAGATCTCTCCGATGAACTTATTGTTTTTAAAAGTACAGTCGTCAAACATTTGGATAGTCAGTAGATATTTGAAAACAGAATAGTATCGTCTGCTAGTTAGAAAATATTAGTATGACATTTAAGATAAATTTATGCTCAATCACTCATTCAGACCAGATAGAATAACTGGGTATTATTTTCCTTAAAAAACTACTATATTTATTCCCTCTTGACGCTCTCTTTACAGCACACTTCTTCCCAAGCTATTTATTGTACTCCTCTTCCTTTTTATACCTCCATTCTTTCAAAAATTCAGGTCAAACGAGAGTATCGTACAAGATTGTCGATCCTTTTAATAATTTCACAAATCCAACAGGCAATTATAGTATTCTTTACAATAAACTCTCTTCGGGTTCGGCAGTCATACACCCAAACTAACAATCGAAAAAGTGGTAAGGCTTGAGGCAAATACACCGTTTAAAATTGTAGACAATAAAACAATGGTAATCTTAGTGATAGGAGTACCTGATTTGAAAAATACATACACAACCTTTCCTATTCAAATATTATTATCTTTGTTGTTTTATTTACATATCTATACACTATTAATATCATTATTGTTATAATTTTCATAGTTTAAATAGCGAACTGATCTTAGCTAGACCAGCAGTGAAAATGTGGGAGCACTAGCTGATTGTCTTGTCTAGTATGCGATTCACCTGCAGTACGCATATACGAACCCGCTTCCTAGAGTCGGTCTCATAACCTCCCGTTTCGTGCGTGGACGCTTAACCTCCAAACTACTGGGCAAACACCCAATGGTGTACATATCCAACTTCAGTCAACCTGTGATCTTGCGTAACCTTCATCCATTGCTTGCAGTGGATAACTGTCTCACACCGAAGATTATTAATCATGGCATCTCACTAGGACTCTAGAAGTTTTATCTTGAGCACATGATACCTCTACGCTTTTATTATTATTATCATTTCAATATTGTTGTTAATCTTCCGAACACATGAATAATTTGGTTATCACTCACCCCAATTTACTATTTTTTACTAAATTTGTGAAAATTCATACCCTATGTTGTTTACTACCAAAATTCGATTTGATTTTCAGTCACATTGCTATTCCTCTAACCCTATATTGCCCATTTTTACTCTGATAATTAATCTCTCAATATCATTTAATGCATAGACTTATTAGAGGTAGAATTACGTATTAGCCATTTCAACAGCAACAATTTTGTCTTGCAAACAATCCCAAGTTCATATGCTGTAATTTTAAACGATTAATTTACATTACACTATAGAATCAAGACCATATGCTCTCGAGATACGGTCGAAGAAGATACAAAAGCATCATACGTGACCCTGAGAGAAAACAGATACCCGGAGAAATTTATAAATAAAAACATATCTAGTAAAAGAGAGCATATAGAATGTTTAACTGTGAATAAAAAGCTTCTGTATATACGTCTACAATTCACAGGCGACGCACCTAGTGAAATGTTAAGACTGAAGCTACGAAGATAAATTGCCTAGACTAGCCACTTCTTTCTGTATCTATCAATTCAACTGCTCCTGTGGGGCATGTTACATACACAGATGTTCTAGAAATTTGTGTACTCGGGCTCGTGAACACCTCCCAGTGTGGTTAAGCAAAGATGTAGTCAAAACGGTTAACGGCTCCATTTTAGCCCATTTAGTTCAGGCGGGATATAGAGCCAACATGGAGCAATCTTTCACAATAATATATCGTGTTAATAGCAGTCTGCCGAATTCCGTCAGACTGCGAATCCTGCAGA